CTCCAGAAGCCAATGCTCAGCGTGCCTGGGTGGTCCAACCATGCGCGAAGAAGTCCACCCCCGGTGGTTTTAGTGCGGTAGGCGTCTCCATTGCACACAGGCCTTGGGTTGTCAATAGCCCAAGTGCCAGGGAGACGAGTCCCTCACACCACCCGTCCCCTTCTCCAGAGGGGGCGGGTGACGGTCCATGAGGATTTCCACCGGGTCAAAAAAAAAAAAGTTGTTCTAAACATTGTTCCAAAGTAGAGGGGTATACTTCAAGTCACCAGTGATGAATAAATAAGATTAGTATTTTAGTTGATCCAAGTGGCAATATAATTGATAAAGTGTTACATTCGATGCGACGTTTCGACCAGGAATCCGGTCCTTATCAAGCAATCAAACTTGTGTATAAATGTTCATAAAGTACATATTGTAGCAGATATATAAGTCTTTGTCAACGCATTAAATCGACATTTTTATAAACTCTTAAGAGAACAGATCCGCACGCTGCGGCGTTTTAGTTTGAACAGTTCAAAGTCTTGCGCCCAGAAAAACGTGCGCGGGAGACCACCGGGGCAGCGCGCCATGGAGCAGGCGCCTGCCGCCGGTGCTCCCCCCTCGGCCGGAGTTCGGCCGGTGGAGGAGAGGAGGGGGGAGGCTGGTGGCTCGATGCAGGAGCCCCAGCCTCAGCGCCAACCAGGTGGGAAGGCGCCGGGAGAGAGGGCCTCACCTCCAGCAGAGGCTATGGAGGTCGAGGCCCTATCGGACGGGGGGGACAATAAGGCCGAGTGATGCCACGCTCTCCCCCCCGTCCGAACTTGAATGGGTATGGCCTTATCCAGGCCAACGTTAACCACTCTCCGCAAGCTCAAGATTTGCTCCAGTAGAACATGGTGGAGGGTGGTTATACGTTGGCGATCGGGGCCGAGCCCCACCGCCCCCCGAGAAACAGCCCATACTGGGCTGTTGATAACGGGCGGGCGGGAGACTCGGTTGCGATTCGATGGCGGTCGGTGCCGGGAGGGCCCGACACGGCCGCCATTGAAAAAGGGGAACGGCACGTGGCCGTTCAATGGGGGCCCATCGCGGTCGTGGGGGTCTACTTGAGGCCCACCTGGCGCCTTCCTCTCTTCGACGACTGGCTCTCGGACATCGGGCAGGCGCTCATACGCCTGAGTCCGAGGCCGGTCCTCGTGGCCGGGGACTTCAATTCGTGGCATACGAAGTGGGGTTCCCGGCACACGAATAGGAGGGGTAGGGCCCTGGATGAGTGGGCGGCGGCGCATGGTCTGGTCCTGGTCAACGAGGGCCGGACCTCCACCTGCGTGCGGACGCAGGGGGAGTCCATCGTGGATCTCACGTGGGCGACCCCCTCGTAGAGCGCCACGGACTTAACC